AAATAAAGAACTGTATTTCTTAAGTAAATTATTAAAGTATTACATATGTTACATAGGCTGATTTATTCATTTTAAGTATTTGGGATTTTAAGAACAAGTGAAAATGTGCTGAATGTTTCATTTCATCCAAGTGAAGCAGTTGTGCCCGTGCGTCAAGCCTCATCCATACTGCCAGATGTGCTCGTGGAGTCTTGTGAGTATAAACGAGCATTACGAGACAGGCTGCGTGAGTGCGGCAAGCATGAACGTCTCATCCATGATGCGGGATTCGCGCCACTTGGGGCAGAGAGGAGCGAGTATGAGAAGCATTCACAGACACAGGCTGTGTGTGCGCTCTTCTGAATTGGGAATAGCCAACATGCATTATAAACTTATTTCAAATTAATCTGTTTGGGAGATAAAATGTTTAAGATAACGTTCACGTACTAACAAAAATCAGATGTGCTCGCGGAGACTTGTGAGTAAAAACGAGCATTACGAGACAGGCTGCGTGAGTGCGGCGAGCGTGAACGGCTCGTCCGTGACGCGGGATTCTGGCCGCGTGGGGCAGAGAGGAGCGAGTATGAGAAGCATTCACAGACACAGGCTGTGTGTGCGCTCTTCTGAATTGGGAATAGCCAACATGCATTATAAACTTATTTCAAATTAATCTGTTTGGGAGATAAAATGTTTAAGATAACGTTCACGTACTAACAAAAATATCTAAGAATGTATCTTTTATTCTCCAGTACTGAAAACAGAACCGATACGGGAGCTCTTGATATGCGCTGTGACGCAGCTCTTGCAAATTAAATTTTTTTGTTAGTTGTCTGTCATTTCGAAGCTTAAGTTGCATACGTTTTTCTTTAGTTTAAATTTGCCTAACTATCGAAGGGTGTTTACGCAGTTGGCTAGAGCAGGGCTGATTGGGGAGAACGGAGGTGTGCTCACTCTTGCCCAGGGCAAGTAAGACTGCAACTCAAGGCTGGCTGTCATGCATATGCTCTGGAACAGTAATATCGCGTCCACATCGCAGGCTTTGCGATTAGCAAATCGCAACGTCTCAAATCGCGATTTCGATTAATCGCACAGCCCTAGTTCTTGGTATGTTTTCTCTTGCGGCACGTGGTATTTGGAAGGACTGCTGGCCATGGATTGCCTATATCTCTTTTATTTTATTTTATTTTATTCGTTTCTTTTTATTTTACATATATTTTATGTTTTTATAAAATTGACAGTAAGCAGGGTTTAAAAGCAGAAATGTTTATCTAGATTTTTTTTCAAAAGCACTTGCGGCACGTGGTATTTGGAAGGACTGCTGGCCATGGATTGCCTATATCTCTTTTATTTTATTTTATTCGTTTCTTTTTATTTTACATATATTTTATGTTTTTATAAAATTTACAGTAAGCAGGGTTTAAAAGCAGAAATGTTTATCTAGATTTTTTTTCAAAAGCATGTGAATTCTTCAGTAAAATGCTTATTCTTGGACTGTTGAAAGGTCTTAATGCGTTTCTAGATGTATGACCTTCTATTTACGTGACTCTTTCCTGCATCGCTTTACAGGTAGTTACATTCCTTTCTGCATGTATCGTGTTTAGCAGCAGTACATCGTCATAACTTCACAACACAGACAACATCAGTGATTCTCTCACACTAGTCTCATGCCAGCACGTATCTTGGTTTGTTGTCTGGTGCATGTGATGGTTGACAGACTGCTGCCTACAGCTGGACCGTGAAGTAGGAGCCTTAAGTGAATTCTGTTTTTAGTGGCGAGCAGCAGCACTGTATGTCTGTGTGTTTGTTTAGCTGTTCATGAAGTGATTGGTAATCTTGAATTATTTTCTATGTCTTAAGAACATCATCTTGCGTATTCCTCTATCTCCCTTTCTTTCTAATTACCTTTGATCTTTTCTTGTGAAATGCTGTTTTGGCACCTTATCAGTTCTTCTCATTCGGGGTGGTTAGCTCACAAATAGCTGTGAAAGTTATAGTTTCTCTTTCAGAAGGCTGTGTTATAACCATGCCCAGACATGAGAAGGAATGTGTACACGCACAGAGTGGTTTTCTGCACAGGTGGGTAGAGTCTTTTTGTGCAGGCTGGGCCTGAGAAAAGCCCAGGCTCTTGTGCTCCGCTGGGCTGGGCTTCCTGCTGTAATATCATCACACCATAGGCACAGCAGCCACGTGGACAAAGTGTGGGTGCGGTCGTCTCTCCATCAGATGACACCTGATCACACAGCCCTGTGCAGAGATCAAAGGTCGTGACCCGGAGAGCAGAGGGCACTGATGTCATCAGGAAATCAGCTGACTGGGCATGGGACCACAGCCGTGCCTTTATTTGGCTGCTTTGTTTTCTGTGTGCAAGGGAGAGGAGGGAAATCTTCTGTTGTATTTTTTCCTAGTCTTCAGGCCTGTACATTGTATAATAGTATTACATAAGGTGTTCAGAATGAAGAGCAACACTGTTTTTCATATACAAACGTGCGTGCAAACAGTCGCATTGGAGGTGACGGTCCAAATCTTTAAATACAAAATCCTAATATAATTGAAAAAATATATATTTCCACACTGTTGATTTTATTTATATGCACCAATATTATTTACAGATATTAATTTTTTTTATTTAATATTATTAAATTCAAATTTTGACTTGGGATGCCAACAAATCTCTAAATTTAATGAACTGAATAAAATAGAATGCGTTTTATTTATTCATTATTTCACTGTGGTAAACATTTTTGATTTGTGATGCCAAAACAATCTCTGAGCTGATTAATTTAAACAGACCATTTGGAGAGAGAGAGAGAGAAAAAAAATGATTCAAGGAATCAAATACTATTTTACAAAAATAAAATGTTTAACTTTTATTGTTCTATTCCCAGTATTAGTTAAATGTGTATTTTCAACAAAATAAAATAGAATTGATATATTCTTACTATTTATTATTATACTCTTCTTTATTATTCTTAAGTATTTATTTAATTACGATTATTTCATTTAGTATTTAACTGTAGCGGTTTATTTATTATTATCATAGATGCTTTTTTAAACTCCATTTGCTGTCTCATTTAGACTTTCTCACACTTTCTTCACTCCCAAACCTCCTCGTGTGACCTTTCACTCTGAGTGAAAGGGCCAAGGGCCCGTTGCACGCGTATTTCTGTGTCTGCATTTGGAAGCCGAGCTGCGAGATCAAAAGCCCCGCACTCTGTTTTTATTATAAATCAGCTGTCCTGTGTAAATGTTTCTGCAGTCGATTCGAATGACAGGATGAGCTATTGTTTGATTATTTGGAGAAGAATGGCTTTCTCTCCCCCTCATTTCATGAGCGCAGGCCAGGGCATAAGTGTTTGTTTTGGTGTTACGTAGAGCTTGGCTGGCATTGTCCGAGCTCATTTCATTTACCCAAAGGGCCCAATGCTCTCATAACCTAATATTTGTCTTTGTTTTCTCTCTGCAGTCGGGCCGTATTGATAAGGCCTACCCTACAGTATGTGGCCACACTGGCCCTGTTCTGGACATTGACTGGTGCCCTCACAATGACCATGTCATCGCTAGTGGATCTGAAGACTGCACCGTGATGGTACGTCACCCTTCCTTACATTTGCTTAACATTTACTTAAACTAATGAAAATATACAGTACATTGAATTTGTCATGGTGGATAAGGCCCATCTTTAAATCAAGAGATTAATAGATATAGCTAAAACTTTCCTTGAGAATATAGCAGTGTGTGTAATATTTTTAAAATGTTTTTGAAGAAAGCTTCTCATGCTTACCAAAACTGTTTATTTGATCAAAAAACAGAAAAGCGATAATTATTTGAAATATTGTTGCAATTTAAAGTAACTGTTTTCTATTTTAATATCTTTTAAATGTAATTTATTTCTGTGATGCCAAAGCTGAATTTTTAGCATTATTACTCCAGTTTTCAGTGTCGCGTGATTTTCAGAAAATATTCAGATTTTTTTTGATGCTCATTTTATTTGATGCTTAAGAAACATTTATTATTAATAATATTGAAAACAGTGGTGCTGCTCAATAATTTTGTGTGCAAAACATTTTTAGGGTTCTTTAATTAGAAAGTTCAAAAGAGCAGCATTTATCTGAAATGGAAATCTTATGTAACGTTGTAAATGTCTTTGTTACGTTTAATCAGTTTAATGCTAAAGTTTTTATTTTTATTTTTTTTACATTACATCTATAAATGTAAGGTATATAAATTTTATATATAAATACACACACATGCACAAAAAAATATTTTGTTTGTATATTAAATATATTTATATATAATATAAATTATATGAATATAAATGTATACATGTAAATATTTTCAAAATGTATGCATTAATGTGTTTGTATTTATACATACATAATAAATATACACAGCACACACACATATATTATGTAAACAAAAACTTTTATTTCGGATGCGATTAATCGCGATTAATCGTTTGACAGCACTAATATAAATTAAACTATTAAATATGATGTGTTAAAACCTTTTTAAACCCCTAATTGTAACCATTTCTTCTACACTTAATTTGACTCTGACTAAACTATGCTGAATAGCAGCAAGTTTTGATTCTGTGCAGAAATGCACAAGATGATGGCATTGTGCTGTTTATTATTATTGCATGTAGTGTAACCCTAGCTAAACCCCTGCAGTCATTCTAAAGCTTGTTTATTGATGGGTGGATATGAGCATTTGCAGATAAGTTTCCTTGAATAGCCAGCATCACATCTCCACCCACCCATTGAGTCCATGTGTGGCTGGCAAAGTCTGCCCCCGTGACTCATGTGAACGGCAGTAGCAACTGAAAGCTTACTCTTCTGGACTGTTCTAGATTAGTTTGAGCCCTGCCTGAAGTCATCGAATCAGCAGTTACTATTTTATAGTTCTGAGGTCAGTCTGGTTGGCTCTGGGTCTGTTTATCATGCTACTAGCCCTTATTTGGCCAGTGTGCTGAAAAACGGCAACTCCAGTGCTTGTGTATGTGTAATGAGTGTACAAGTGTTGAGTTTAATAGGACGCTGTCTTTAGTCCTCTCTTGAGGAATGCCGAGGCCTGGGAAGTTGATGATTCCTTTTTACTGTTTTTCTTTGCCCTACCTTCCCAGAGTCATAAAATCTGAATTATATTGAAGTATAGCCATGCTGGAGGGTAATTCCATTAGTGACCTATGATTATGACACTAAATAGGTTTGGCAGTGTCTGTGTGAGGGAATAATGTACGCTCGTCCAGTCTGTTACACAGTTCAGCGTAGGGCTGCACGATTAATCGAATGCATTTTGATAGTCGGTTATGTAATCAGCAGGAAATCATCATCACGTGCTTTCAGATGGAGCAGAATTTACTACACATAGCCGTAGTTCACTGACAAGTTATGCAAAAAAATTGCGGACGATTTTATTGCGCGATTATGAAATCGAAGAAATCGTTCTCGATAATGACAGCTGTTTGCATAGCTTCTCCGTGAACTACGGCTCTGTGAAGTAAATGCTGCTCCATCTGAAAGCATGTGAAAATACCACATTTAATAATTTTTACTACAAACTCACTTCATAACGTCAGTCGAGTGTTTGAAATAAATCCTTCTGTGAGATGATGTGGCTTCTTACACAGAATAAGGCACGCAGCATATTTCATAGTATTTAAGCAGTGATAAAGGCATTGCATTATAAATATACTTTATTTTAATGAAAATTATCACTGCTTAAATACTATGAAATATGCTGCGTGCCTTATTCTGTGTAAGAAGCCACATCATCTCACAGAAGGATTTATTTCAAACACTCGACTGACGTTATGAAGTGAGTTTGTAGTAAAAATTATTAAATGTGGTATTTTCACATGCTTTCAGATGGAGCAGCATTTACTTCACAGAGCCGTAGTTCACGGAGAAGCTATGCAAACAGCTGTCATTATCGAGAACGATTTCTTCGATTTCATAATCG